TGTTTTTTTTCAGATCTCTCCCTTGATTTTTTTTATCTTGGTCTTTTTCCTGTGCTTTTTTCTCTCTTCTTTTCATTTCTTAACTCTCCTTTCTCTTTCACATTCTCCTCTCACTTTTTGTTATTTTCTATCTTATCTATCTCATCTATCTATCTATCTATTTACTTGGCACTATTTTTTCTTATATGCTATATGATCCATATTTATAACAAAATACAACTTTTTTTTTTTTCTTTCTGCATCTTATTCAGTGTATCAGTCTGTATCCATATATGTTATTACATCCCACATACGTATGTATGTATGTATGTATGTATGTATGTATGATGTTACTATATATGCATATGTATATATATATTATATATGTAGTTATATATATATATATATATATATATATATATATTACTATTATTATATTATATATCTGTGTGTGTGTGTGTGTGTGTGTGAATGTGGTGTGTGTGTAGATATGGGCGTATGGTTGCGAAATTCACACACAGAAGGCACACATTTACACACAAATAGCTGACTCATTTTTCTACATGCATAAACACCCTTATCGACACAGGCCCCGCGCCCATAAAATCACAAATGCATGGATGACAGTAAACACGTACATGTAACACACCTCGGCCACATTCGCATTCCGCACATTAAACCCTTTTGCCCTTTTGGCTTCTGCGGCAACGCAACCCTTTTTTAAATGCCGCCCTGCTCATGGCCCCCATTTCCCCTCCATGTTCCCGAGGGTAATAGGCCCCCCATTTCCCCTCCGGTAACTGCCGTGTCCATCCGCGTTAGCCCCCGAATTTCCCCTCCATGTCCGCGAGTAGCCCCCATTTTTTCCCATCCATGGTCCCCGAGTAGCCCCATTTCCCAGTCCATGGTCCCCGGTAGCCCCCATGTTCCCCTGCCATTGTGCTCGAGTTAGCCCGCCATTTCCCTCCAGGTCCCGATAGGCCCCGCATTTTCCCTCTCCAGTGGGTCCTCCGAAGTAGCCCCCATTTCGCCCGTCCATGTCCCCGAGTCGCCCCCATCTTCCCTCGCTCCATGGTTCCGTCCGAGTACGCGCCCCATTTTCCGCTGCATTGTCCCCGAAGTAGCCCCACTCTTCTCCCTCCATGGTCCCCGATTGATAGCCGCCCATTTCCCCTCCATGGTCCCCGAAAGTAGCCCCCTTTCCCCTCCATCTCCCGGATACCGCCCATTTCCCCTCCATCTTGTCACCCGCAGTAGCCCCCATTTTCCGCCTCCTCATGTCCCGAGTAGCCACCATTTCCCCGCTCCATGTCCCCGGAGTAGCCCCCATTTCCCCTCCATGTCCTCCGGAGTAGCCCCCATTTCCCTACCATTGTCCCCGAGTATCCGCCCAGTTTTCCCCTCCATTGTCTCCGAGTAGCCGTCCTGGTGATTTCTCGCCTGCGCATGGTCCTGCGCGAAGTAGCCCGCGCGATTTCCCCTTCCATGTCCCCGAGTCAGCCCCCGAATTTCCCCTCACATGTCCCCAGAGTTAGCCCCCGTCATTTCCCCTGGCCATAGTCTTCCGAAGTTAGCCTCCCATTATCCCCTCCATGTCTCCCGAGTAGCCCCCATTTCCCCTCCATGTCCCCAGTAGCCCCCATTTTCCTCCTCCAGTGTCCCGAGTTGAGCCCCCATTTCCCTGCCTCCGATGTCCCGGCGAGTAGGGGCCCCCATTTCCCCTGCGCATGGGTCCGCGAGGTAGCCCCCAGTTTGCCCTCGCATGAGGTCCGTCGGAGGTAGCGCGCCGGATTTACGCGCCGTCGCGATGGTCGGGCGAGTGGAGCCCCCGATTTCGGCGCCTCGCTATGGTCCGGGCCGAGGAGTAGCCCCGAGTTTGCGCGCTCGCGAGTGTGCGCGCCGAGGTAGCCCCTGGATGTTCCCCGTGCCGATTCCGCCGGAGTAGGCCCCCATTTCGCCCTCCATGTCCCGAGTAGCCCCCGAGTAGTGTCCCCTCGCATGTGCCCTCGCGCGAGTAGCCCCCATGTTCGCCCGTGTGTCCCGAGTAGCCCCTCATTTCCCCTCCATGTCCCCGAGTAGCCCCCATTTCCCCTCCAGTAGTTTCCCCTCCATGTCCCCGGCAGTAGCCCCATTTTTCCCCTTCCCAATGTCCCCGAGTAGCCCCCATTTTTTTTCCCCCTCCATGTCCCCGAGTAGCCCCCATTTCTCCCTCCATGTCCCCAGTAGCCCCCATTTCCCCGTCCATGTTCCCCGAGTAGCCCCATTTCCCCTCCAGTGTCCCCGAGTAGCCCCCATTTCCCCTCCATGTCCCCGAGTAGCCCCCATTTCCCCTCCATGTCCCCGAGTAGCCCCCATTTCCCCTCCCTGTCCCCGAGTAAGCCCCCATTTCCCCTCCATGTCCCCGAGTAGCCCCATTTCCCCTCATGTCCCGAGTAGCCCCCCATTTCCCCGTGTATGTCCCCGGTTAGCCCCTCACCCTCGAGTAAGCCCCCCCCATCCGCCCTCGCCATGTCCCCGAGTAGCCCCCATTTCCCCTCCATGTGTCCCCGAGTAGCCCCATTTCCCCTGTATGTCCCCGATGTCCCCGAGTATTTCCCCTCCATCCCCGAGTAGCCATTTCCCCTCCAGTCCGAGTAGCCCCCATTTCCCCTCCATGTCCCCGAGTAGCCCCCATTTCCCTCTCCCGAGTAGCCCCCATTTCCCCTCCATGTCCCGAGTAGCCCCCATTTCCCCTCCATGTCCCCGAGTAGCCCCATTTCCCCTCCATGTCCCCGAGTTAGCCCCCATTTCCCCTCCATGTCCCCGAGTAGCCCCCATTTCCCCTCCGTGTCCCGAGTAGCCCCCATATCCCCTCCATGTCCCGAGTAGCCCCCATTTCCCCTCCATGTCCCCCGAGTAGCCCCCATTCCCCTCCATTCCCGAGTAGCCCCCATTTCCCCTCCATGTCCCCGAGTAGCCCCATTTCCCCTCCATGTCCCCGAGTAGCCCCCATTTCCCCTCCATGTCCCGAGTAGCCCCATTTCCCTCCCATGTCCCCGAGTAGCCCCCATTTCCCCTCCATTGTCCCCGAGTAGCCCCCATTTCCCCTCCATGTCCCCGAGTAGCCCCCATTTCCCCTCCATGTCCCCGAGTAGCCCCCATTTCCCCTCCATGTCCCCGAGTAGCCCCCATTTATCCCCATGTCCCCGCCCCCATTCCCCTCCATGTCCCCGAGTAGCCCCACTTCCCCTCCATGTCCCGAGTAGCCCCCATTTCCCCTCCGTCCCCGAGTAGCCCCCCCGTCCGAGTTAGCCCCCTATTTCCCCTCCATGTCCCGAGTAGCCCCCATTTCCCTCCTCCCCGAGTCCCCATTCCCTCCATGTCCCCGAGTACCATGACTTGCACCCTCACGAGGCCACATTTCCCCCATTTCAGCCTGGCGTGTCTGACAATAAGCAGATATCGGAGGGTTCAGTCGATCAGTCGCTACCACGTGACAAATGACGCAACGGTGACGTCATTACTTCCCCCTCGTGACGTATGGTCTTGCCAAAGGCCGCCAAAATCCTGTTTCTAAATGTCAGTATATCAGCCGCTGGCGCCCTCTATTATGTTTGTTTATTGGCAGAGCGATTGTTGGGGTGACAATCAGCCTTAGGGAGCTTGGGATTACGGCCGTCGGAAGTGCTGGTCGTAGTGTTGGAAATAACGCAACTGCCTTCGTGGTTAATGGGCCGTTATTGACATCCAGTGCAAAAGCCAATAAGAGTAATGCTCAAATTCCTAAAAGCATTTTTTTTCGTTCTCTTTTTTTTTGTTATTATTGTTTGTCATCTAGATATATTCCCACTGGACGCATTTTCACTGATATTCATCATCTCTGTGACACCAAAATATGAACGTTTGCGATCAAGAATGTAAAAATTTCAATAGAATTGCTACGAAATGGTGTTAGTGAAATATAAACTACTTCTGCTCAAGGGTCAATTTTGCCCTGACGTTCTCATTTCCTTCTCGCTCTCTGCTCCCTCTCTCTTATTCCTTCCTTCCTTGTCTTTGTTATCTTTCCCAATCCTTTCTTCTCTTCCCGTCCTAATCCTTCTTCACATCTCGTTTCATGTATCATCCTCCCGTCCTTCTTCTGCCCTTCTCTTTCTCTATTCCACACCCTTCAATTATTTCCTTCCCTTCCCCCTCTCTCCTATCTCTCCCATCTCATCCATACCTCACATTCGTTTCCTTCCCTTCCCCCTCTCTTCTCGCTTTCCCCTCTCACCAGCACCTCCTTTCCCTCTTTCTCCCCTCTCACCCATACCTCCCATTTATATCCTTCCCTTCCCCTCTCTCTTCTCGCTCTCCCCTCTCACCAGCACCTCCCTCCCTCTTCTCCCCTCTCACCCATACTCCCATTTATTCCTTCCCCACTTCTTCTCGCTTTTCCCTCTCACCAGCACCTCCCTTCCCTCTTTCTCCCCTCTCACCCATATCTCCCATTTATTTCCTTCCCTCCCCTCTCTTCTCTCTCCCCTCTCACCAGCACCTCCCTTCCCTTTCTCCCCTCTCACCAGCACCTCCTTTCCCTCTTTCTCCCCTCTCACCCATACCTCCCATTTATTTCCTTCCGCTTCCCTCTCACCAGCACCTCCCTTCCCTCTTTCTCCCCTCTCACCAGCACCTCCCTTCCCTCTTTCTCCCCTCTCACCCATACCTCCCCTTTATTTCCTTCCCTCCCCCCTCTCTTCTCTCTCCCCTCTCACCCATAACTGCTTCCATTATCCTGTTCTTATTACAAGCCATCAAACTCGATACCCCTCGAATCGCCGCTCTGGTCGTTACACACAGGAGTTCACCGTAATGGCCATCATACACAGGAGGAAAAGCGATGGGTGACCCTATTTGACCCATCGATTCCTCGCGTCCACGACTCGCCGCTGGGAGAACGAAGGAGCGTCTTGGCAATGAACTAAGGCGGAGGTTTCAGAGGTTCCCGAGTTGTTAAGGAACTCCGCGGATTTTAAGCGATTTCCATAATCCCGCTTGAGACACGGAAGCTCATCTGAAGGTCCGGGGAGCTAAGATTAAAGAAAGGATGGAAAGAGAGAGAGAGAGTGAGAGAGGGGTGGGGGAAGAGAGAGAAAGTGAGAGAGAGGGAGAAAGGAGAGGGAAACTGAAAGAGAGAGTGAAAGAGATTGATAGATTAGTAGATAGATAGATAAATAGAGAGAGAGAGAGAGAGGATAGAGAAAAGAGAGATAGATAGATAGTAAGGGAGGAAAGAAGGAGAGAAGAGAAAGAAAATTGAAAGAGAGAGAGAGAGAGAGAGAAAATAAACGATGCATCGGCATAGTCCAGAAGACAAAGACAAACAACCCACCGCCCAGCAATCCCCACTTCCAATTCGTTATAGATCACGCCATTCTCTATTTCCTTTTGTGGCGTCGCGTCGAAGTTCTGGAGGTTAGTCAATCTAGAGTGACTAGAAGGTCAAGAGGTCAATGCTGTTTGTACTCTTTGTGTGGGAGGGGGATGAGGGCTCGGGGAACCAAAGGCCACTGGGCTAAAGTAAACAAACCGCAGTAAGTGTGGGGGAGTGGGGGGGGAAGAGGGGAGGGGGATGGAGGGGGGGGAGGGGAGGGGAGGGGAGGGGAGGGGAATGGGAAAGGGGGAGGGGAAAGGGGGGAGGGAGAGGGAGGAAGGGAGTAGGAAACTGAGGAGGGAGGAGGGGGATGAGAGAAGGGAGCATGAGGGAAGAAAAGGAGGGAAGGAGGAAAAATGGTGGAAGAAAGGGAGGGAGAATGAAGGAAGAAGGAAAGGAGGGAGAAAGGGGAAATAAAGGGGGGAGGACGAAGTGAGGATGGTGGGAGAGGGAAATAAATAGGGAGATGGGTGGGGAATGGTAGAGGACAGAAATGAGGGAAGAAGGGGAGGAGAATAAGAGAGAAGTGAGTGGTGATGGGACGGGGGAGATAGAGAGAATAGGAGAGAGCGGCTGTTGCTTGGAACGAGAATGAGGAAGAGGAGAAAGAGTAAAAGAATGCGCGGGAGACCCAGAATATAAATGAAGAAGACGACAAAAAACTAAAAAAGATTAAAAAAAAAAAAGAAAAAATGAAAGAGATTGAAGGGTAAAAGAGTGCAAATAAATGAGAGAATAAGTATAATGAG